TCGGGGTAGAAACGGATGGGAACAGCAAGGAGGCTGGTTTGGTTTTTTTTTTTTTTTTTCTGAAGACAATCAACTCTCAAAATACGGAGCTGAACTAGCTGAACCTTTGTTTAAAAAAAGAAAAGAAAAAAAAAAAAGGAATTCTGAAAAGTGATGATTTTAACCACTTGTGAATAGTAGGGGTTTTTTAACCGCTTTTTGTAACACTGCTTCAGGAAGCAGCTCCCGTGCCCTTCTCTTCCCTCCTTCTTTCTCTCCCCTCCTCTTGTCCCCCCATTCCCAAACAAGGAGGTGAATTCCCTAGATGCAATGAGTGACTTTGTGATGTGATTTGAAGAGAAAACATAAAACCTCCCAGGGGTCCTTTTTCTTCTTTTTTCTCTACTGGCTTTTTATTTTCTTCTTTTTAATTTTTCCCTGTCATCAAGGTCAAGTAGGAAAATACAGAAAAAGGACAAATTTTTATGTGAAAAGCAGACACCTCCTCTCTCCTCTTCTCATTGCTGCTCCCCACAATTAGGAGCACTGGCTGATCAACTTAGGCTCAGATGTGTCACTGTCTCTGCTCTGAGCTCACTACTGGTGTGTTTATACTGAATTACGAACCTGCTTTTATTTCTTATTCAAATGGGACGTGCTGCATTCTTTAAATATTCCAACTCCAGGCCCTTTAGAAGATGAGATGGCTCAAAAGAGCACTGTAGGCAGCAGTGGGTGAAGCAAGCGAGAAGAATTCAGAGGCAAGGTCAGTTTATTTTTGGTGTGGCTCTAATCCTCCCTCGTGGACTGCGTGTGCCATTTGAATCGGTCATTTTTTAAAAGTCAAAGGACACAACCTAGTAAGCCAGAGGAATCTTTCATTTAAGATTGCAGTGACAAGCTAGAGAGTCCACTAATTGATGAGGTTTTTGATCATCAAAGTTAACCTGCCCTGTCGATAGAGGTTGAGCATCCTTTCTCGCCCGGGCTCTGCAGTGCTGCTCACTGGTCTGTAAAAAAGTACGTGGTAGCTGGGTTCCTTTGATGTTATTTTTTTAGTACAAAGACACGTCACACAGACTGGGTGAGTTTTGGTGTCCACAGGTGCCTTTTATTGATTCTTCAGCCTCATATCCGGGAGAAACAACAAAGTGTCTCCAAATAAAGCTAACCATGTTTTTCAAGCATTAGGGTCATGAATTACCTTGTGCATGTTTACAGGCTGCTTTGTGCACTGGAAGCTACAGCCTTTGGAAAGAAGGGAGAGTTTTTTTAGTTTATTTTCCATCCTTTTGTATAGCTCCCTTTTTGTTTCCTTCTTTTCCTTTCTGTCCTTTTCCTGAGTCTGTCATGTTTAGCAGCAAGTTATTTACTCGCGAGGAAGTTGTCAGGGATTTAAAGAATCCAAGCCCAGCCCTTGGACCTAGCAACAGTCCTGGATCACCAGACTTTGTACAGCAAGAGTTCGAAAGGTGAATTTGGAAGTAGGCAAGCCCTTTACCACTCTGGTATCTGGCGTTTCTTCCCAGGTGGATGTAGGTCAGCCAGGAAAATTGGTCTCCTGCTGCTTCCTAATGTCGCGTCAGGGCACGTGTGGGTGCTGTTATAATTGCAAATTGTCCCTGTCCCATCTGGCGAGATGCAGGACAGCTGTGGCACTGGATGGTGGTGTCTTCAAGGCAGGTTGTTGAAACCAACCTGGCGTTGATTACGGTGGCTGCCTGTTCCTGCCCATAGGGGCTGGTTAGAAGTAGCCTGGTGGCACCTCACCTGAAGAGGTGAGGTCCAAGGGCAAGTTCAGCCTCACTGTCACCTTTTAGTGCCTCTTGGACAGGGCAAACAATCTCAGAATTGCTTTTACTCTTTGGCACTGCCTCTGAGCACTGCTGCTCTTGGTATATACAGATTCTGGATAGCTTTGGCACTGGATTGCTGTTCCTCTCCAAAGGCTCCAGAAAGAAAAAGTTCAAAACCAAAAACTCCAGTGGGTGTGTTTAAGGGCTTTTGAGTTTGGGATAATGATCCACAACTCATTAGACGGCAAGGGATATGCAAAGACACGGGCTTGAGCCAAAACCCTGTGAGTCATCCCCCTCTCTGCACCTGGATAGGATGTGTGTGGGATGGAGAAGTGGCTCCAAAGAGGATGACTTGGAGCTTACTGTGAAGAGGAATGCAAAGCAAACAAAAACCCACTGCCTTCTGTGCACTTTGACTGTTCTCTTAAGCCATATGGACTTTGCTTTAATGACTGAACTGACAAAAAATTTGTTTGCAGTCTGAGTTTTTTGTTTCGTAGACAAAATCATCTACGTGACTTTCTGATTTGTTTTCTCTTTCCTTTGTTATTTCCTGCATCAGATTACATATCTTTAAACACCTTGTTTTATGTACATGCGACATAGCAATGCAATTGCTGTTGGAATTTTAATGGCGTTTATCCAACAGGTATGAGAGGTAGTGCCACAGGAGGAGCCTTTCAAGGACCACTAAGGACTTAGGGATATAGATTAGTAGAAAGCAGATTGAACACCGAAGAGTTTCCTTCAAATGAAAGCAGTGTGAGTAGCTCTGTATCTCCTGAAAATTGCCAGATCTGAGTTGGTGTAAGGTGCAGTTACTCCGTGGGGTCGATCTGATACCACATTGAGCAAAAAAGCGAGGAAACCATAGAGAATAAAGGAAATGGACTCTGTGGCCACTGCTCCACTGAAGGACAACATGGGGAGCAGCACAATCTATACAAAGCAAGGAGAAGAGACTATTCCTTTTTTCTCAGAGTCACCTGAAATTTCAAAGCCTGAGCTTGCTGAGGACCTGCTGAGTTGACTTTATGGCCCTTTTCTTCCGACTACTGCTGAAGTAAAAGGTTAGGTGTGATTCCTTTAGGACCTGTTGATCCGAACAAAGATATTGCTGTTCTATTGCAGTCCACACTGTTGTCACTCATGGTTTTGGTTTGTTTAGGAGTTAGCTTTTCTTACATGTGGGTTTATGTTACGTAGGCAATTGCAGTGTGTGGAAGTGCACTGCCCTGCTCACCCCTAAAATGAGCACAGGATGAGCGTTCTGCTGCCCAGGATCCTGTATAGCTATATGCATGATGCCTGTGCCTTCTTGTTAGCATGCTGTACTTGTAAATTATGATTAATGGGTAGGTTTTATTTACCTCAGATATCAGGTAAATCGTTCTATCTGGAAGGAAACACTCCATCAGTTAGCAAGAAAGCTCTCTTTCATAGCTGTAATCTTTGGGAATCACAGCCTTGAAATACGACTTTTAAACATTAGTTGTCATGTTACAATAACTTCACTCATCAAATCCACTTGTTTTTCCATCTTCCTGTTTAGAACAGTCTTGAAAAATGAAGACTTATATTTAAAACACCTTCCTAGGATATTTTGTTTGTATTTATTTATTTACTTTCCCATGTTTCTCAGGTCTCTTGGTGGCTGTTACTAAAAAGTAAAAACAACTTCATGAAACGACCAAGGGAGACATTTCAGGAAATGGTTTAATAGGAGTTCATTTTTCATGCAATAGCCATGGAAATATCCAATTTCCTGCAGGAAAAAAAGCGCCCAAGTCTCACCGCTCTCCCAGGGCTGAGATGACACCAGCCACTGCCATCAGCGATGCTCCCAGCACTCCCAATGGCACTGAACCTCAGGTTGTCCCTGTCATAAATCACATGTAGAGTGCACGTGAGTGAAGGAGGTGCACTGTTCCAGCCTACTCTACGTGAAGCATTTTATCCCCAAAAGTCCATGTCACACATAGCCCACACCCTTGAGTGGAATATTTTCCATTCCCATCTTTTGATGTTCCGATGTTGGTGCACATCCAGCGCAATTTGGTGCAAAGGGACAGGAGAGGGCACTGTTTTACTTTCATCAGTGGCAGTTTCTTTTCCTCTGCCCTGGGAGTCACCTGTGTGAAACCCCTGGTGGGAAGGGCAGGGAGAGCAAGAGCCCACGGACCAAAGGGTTTGATCAGCATTTACTAAAGGAATCACACTGCGGCCAGTGATCCCGCTTCTGGAGGCAGTTGGCATTACTGAAGAGAAGAAAAAAAAAAAACACATTCAGAAAAAGAAACTAATCCATTACCCAAAAGGATTATATTTTCCCCTCTTCATTTTGGATGTTAAAGCCAGTGGTGCTTTGCGGATGGGCCAAGATCTCATTTTTCCTGCTTATACCCAGGTCTCTGCCAGAAGCTGCTGTAGCAATTGTTTAGATTAAATATCCAAGTCTCTCTTGACATGGGGATACATTTATTATCCTTGTCATTACTTCCTTCAAGAAATTCATTGGGTCATCCAAAGATTATCCATTCTGCCCTCCAAAAAGTGAGCAGAGATAGCTGTTTATACATAGAGAGCACTGGTGTCTTTTCCCACTTGCTGTTTTCTGATGAAGCAGGGCAACTTGTTTCAGAAAAATCCTTTTATAAAAGGAATTTATTAGGAAACATCAAAAAAAACCAAAACAAAACACACACACAAAAAAACCCACATGGAAGATAACCTTTGGCAGGGTCATTAGAAATCTTGAAGTTCTAGAAATCTGAGATTGTAAGACTGAATATGATCCCCAACCCTCCTATCTTTAGCGATCTCCTTTATCAATAGCAGCCAAAAGGATGGATGCAATGAGGGGTTATATTTGAAGAGGAAAAGCCATCACAGAACAGCTGCTAGATGGACAGGTTGTGCTGCAAACAGCTTCGTTCAACCTGGAGTTCCTGCTAGTTCAATCACGTTTCTTAGGTTGTTTTTATAGGTTTTTGCCAGCACGTGTGGAGTCCATACATCATCATGGCATTACTAGAGGTCACGTGGAGAGAGGTGTAGAACCATAGGATCATTTAGGTTGGAAAAGACCCTTAAGATCATCAGGTCCAACCATAAGCTGTCAAACCG